AAGTTGTCCCAAGACCCAGGCAAGTTTAATCACTGATCTAGAGTGAAGTGATTTAACAGCGTTTTATTTGATGTTGTTGTTAAGTGCCATTAAGTCAGTTTCAACTCATAGCCACCCTGTATAGGGTTTCCAAGTAGTGACTGGTGGGTTTGAACTGCCAACTGTGCAGCTCAAACTGACCTTGTGGTCCAGTGCATTATCCTACAGGGTTTATTTCCACTTGGTACTTGTGGTAATTGAATTGTTTTGAAAGGGTTGGCTGGCTGTCATACTCATGGAAGATATATTTATATTGCTAAGTGCTGTCGAGTTGGTTCTGACTCATAGTGACCCTGTATAGTGTTTCTGAGGAGCAACTGGTAGGTTTGAACTGCCAATCTCATGGTTCACAGTTTGGTGCTGATCCTACAGTGCCATATAACACAAGGTGATTGGGGAGAGGAAGAAGCTAAAAGTAATTCATATTTCCATTGTTTAACGTCCATGATACACTTTGTGAACTAGGATGTTATGTGATTTGGACCTTGTGTGAACACTATATGAAAACCTTATGGTCTTCTTTGCTGATGCTCTTGTTGCTGGAGCTGCTGACAGAGGCTGGAGGAACAAGCACTGCCTGGCTGCAAAGGCAGAGGGCAGGAACAGAGCGAGAGGAAGCAAGTGGGGAGAGAGCAGAGCGCCCCTGGCCCCACTGGCTATTCCACTTACCTGAGCAGCAAGGAGACGATTGGGCCCGCCGCTGCCACCGCCTGCCGACCTGACAAAGCCTAAAAGCCCAGCCCAGAGTCATGTTCTCTGCTTCACCTGCCTGTATATCACCTGTGGTCTAGTGTTGTAAGAGTCTGGGTTTGGGGACTTCAAAACCAGTAGGAGGAAATGCTGTCCCTTAAAAAAAAATTTTAGGGGACTATGCCATGTGGCGTTGTGGGTTAATGCGCCAGACTGCAAAGCCGTTTGAACTGCAAGGTTGGCGGTTCAAGCTCACCAGCCACTCCTTGGAGACCCAATATCCAGGGTCTCTATGAGTCGGAACCGACTCGATGGCACTTAACAACAACAACAACATGGCCATCAGGCAGTGAACATTCTGTGATATATACCTGCATTTCAGGGAGCATGGTGGCTCCATACAATAAGCACTTGATTGCAAACCACAAGGTCCACAGTTTGAGCCCGTCACCACTCTGCAGGAGAAACATGAGGCTTTCTACTCCCACAAAGATTTAAAGCTTCAACAACCCTATACAGGGTTGCTATGAGTCAGAACCGACTTGACAGCATTTAACAAGACCACCTTCATTTCAATATAAGATGCTTTAATTGAGTTAAAATTGTGAAGCCAACTGTCTATCTATTCTTAGTGTTTTATCAAAATAGAACACTCACTTTGTTAAATAGTACCTAGAAACATATAATTCAAATACTGTAATCCTAGTTTGCCTGGAAAAGTCCTAGTTTATTGTCTTAGCATAGCTATTACCAATGTCCCTTTCACTCTCAAAAGTGTTCTGGCTTGAGCAGTGAATAACATGGTTCCTGTGCTTATAATGAAAAATAGAGTTCCCTAGGCTACTCCTTCCCCTCCTTCACAGAATTCAGAAGCGACCACTTTCTCTTTTAGTGATTTGATAGCCAACATCCATGTTTCAAAATAACCTTCTTTATGGCTCAGTAGTATTCCATTGTGTGTATATACCACATCTTGTTTGTCAGTATTAAACATTCGTAATACTTCTTTTTCAAGGAGTTATAAACCTTATCTTGTTTTTAATTGTGGTAAAAACATACACCAATTCACCAGTTTCTCCATGGGTGATTTAGTGGCATTGATTTCATTCTTCAAGTTGTATAGCCATTTTTGCAATCCTTTTCCAGATTATTTCAATGCCATGACCTCAAGGCCTGCTAAGTCCAAATGCCCCCTTTCCCCTCCTTCCCACCCCTGATAACCACTGATGATTTTTGGTTTCTGTATATTTGCTTGTTTCTTATAAATGAGATCATACAGCATTTGTCCTTTTATAGCTGACTCACTGCACTCAGCATAGTGTTCTTAAGGTTCATTCATATTGTGACTTGTGTCAGAACGTCATTTCTCTTTATGGCTGAGTCATTTGTGCATGTGTACCATATTTCGTTTCTCCATTCATCTGGTGTGGCCCTATAGGATAAAGTACTGGACCACAAGGTCAACTTGAACTGCAAGATCAGTGATTCAAACCCCCTAGCCACTCCTTGGAAACCCTACACAGGACAGCTGTGAGTCGGATCCAACTCAACGGCACTTAACAACAACATTTATCTGCTGATGGGTATTTTGGTTGTTTCCACCTTAGGCTCTTGTGAAAAGTGCAATAAACTCTGGTATGCAGTTTCTGTTTGCTTGTTGCCCTCACTTCTTTTAGTTATATACCTAGGATTGGGGTGCTAGGGAATGTGATAGCTAGTTCTAGGTTCAACCTTTTGAGGAACTGTCAAACTATTTTCGACAGTGGCTGTTCCATTTTCCTTTCCCACCAGCAATGAATGAGCGTTCCAGTTTCCCCACAACCTCACCAGCACCTATTGTTTTCATTTTTTTCATCATCACCATTCTAATGGGAATTAAATGGTATCTAATTGGGCTTTTGATTTTCATCTCTCTGGGGTTTGAACCTCAAGGTCAGCAGTTCAAACTCACTAGCAGCTCCTCAGAAACCCTATACAAGGTCACTATGTGTCGGAACTGACTCGATGGCACTTAACAACAATGGTGATGGCTGACTGATGACTCTGAGGAGCATCTTTGCATGTGCTTGTTGGTCTGACTTCAGTATCCTTTCTCATAACTGAAATGTCTGATCAAATACTTTGCCTATTTTTTTTTCTTTTTAAGTTTTTATTATGAATTAAGTGGTAGTTTACATTAGAGACTATCAGCTTTACACTCATCCTATCGTATTTGGTTTTATTGCAATGACTATAATCCCCTCCATGTATCATCATTCAACAGCATTTGCTTCTGTTCCCTCTGTTTTTTTTTTTGTTGTTTTTATGTACACTGAAGCACTCAGGAATATATCATCATTCAAACAACCAAAGGGTCTGCCCCTCCAGCTGCCAGCACACGGCCCTTTTCCCTCCTAGAATCTCCCCAGCCGCTCCATCTCTCCCCGTCATCGTGTCTGGCTCCATCTCTGGCATCATTGCTTCTCTGGGTAGGGTCCCACACTCCGCTCTTCTCCCTTGATGGTCCCAGTGTCCTCCACTCCTGGGCTGCAAGATCAAGCATTCCTCTCCTTTTGTTACAAAATGTCTCCATTTACATTTGCAATAGTCGAAATCAGTACAGATAACAATTATTCACTATTGAACCACAAGAGTCTTATCCCCATCTCCTTTCATCAGCCCCTTCTAGACAGTCTGAAAACCACTCAGTGGAGATTCTACCTTCCCCCGCACCCTTGAAACTAAACTCCTTCTTGAAAATTTGTAAGCCAGTCACTTCATGCCTTTATAGCCCCCCATTTTAGGGTCTGAGTTGCCCATCCCTGTCAACCCTGTTTACTGAAAGGGTGGGAATGATCCTTGCTTTGAAGATTTGTTCCCGCTTTTAAGCTACACATCCATAAGTATAGGTCAAGTTCATCAAATTATAGTGGATTTTACTTTTTTTCATCTTCTTTCTTCCTCTAGTTGAGTTATGATCATCCAGCCATTGAAGCTAGGTCAAATGGGTACTATCTGCAACTATGGGCGCTCTTGTGCATCTCCCCTCTCTTCATATCAGCTGGATGCTTCACTCTCCACTCTAGCCATCTGTGGCTATGTCCCTGTCCATGGGCTCAGGAATCCCCAGGTCTCACCATACTGTTGGCCAACCAGGTCTCACTCCAGGTTGGTAGGATTCAATTGAACGTGGTCTGACTAAGCCCACATCTTCATCGTTTTGACTATTTTTTGAAGGGATTGCTTTTCTTTTTAAGTAGTAGACATATTTTATACATACACAAAGGGACTTTAAAAAATTCAACTCCATGAACTTTTTGAAGCCCTCTCCCCCCAGTGTATATATGTGTGTGTGTGTTTTCCCCCTAATCTCTGGTACCATCTTAGGTGCTTAGCTAAGTGCTTAGTATTTGATTGTATTTTAAGCAAACATAAATCTTTGATATTTTGAAATGACTTTCTAGAACATTTTTTACAGGTGATCCTAGACCTTGAGGAAGAAAGGCAGCGGCATGCACAGGACACAGCTGAAGGAGACGATGTCACCTACATGCTGGAGAAGGAGCGAGAGCGGCTGACTCAACAGGTCAGTGAGGTGATCTGGTTCACAGCAGCATTAGTTTAGAATCACATTCTCAAGGATTGCCACAAAGGACGGATACCTAAATAAAAGGACTTTGTGGTCAAATAAATTTAGGAACTCTGGATTAAACAAGGTTACCCGATTTTAACTTAATTTTTTATAACCTATAGTCCTGGAGCTCTGGTAGCATAGTGGTTACGAATCGGGCTGCGAACCCCAAAGTCAGTAGTTCAAAACTACCAGCTGCTCTGCGGGAGAAAGGTGAGGCTTTCTGCTCCCGTAAAGATGTACAGCCTCGGAAACCCTGACCAGGGTTGCTATGGGTCAGAACTGACTCGACGGCACTTAACAAAATAGTCCTGGTGCTCCTTGGAAACCCTATACAGGGTCGCTATTAGTCGAAACTGACTCAATGGCACTTAACAACAACAACATAGTCCTGGTGTGGTGCTGTGGGCTAATGTGTCAGACTGCATAGTCGTTTGAACTGAAAGGTCGGTAGTTCAAGCTCACCAGCTGCTCCTTGGAAACCCTATACAGGGTTGCTGTGGGTTGGAATTGACTCAACAGCACTTAAAAACAACAACAGCATAGTATGCAAAAGCACTTTGTGCCTTTAAAAACAAGACCAAATATATTGTTAACAAATCTATATTTTCATTAAGTATTTTTTGAAAATAGTTCACTCTTTGTAGGAATCATGTTCCATAGAACACACTTTGGGGAACACTATCTTAGAGCTAAAGCTCCCCAACTTCTTTTTACTTAGGACTCCCAGTTTAAAAAAACACCATTTTATATCATGACCTAACATACATACACACATGCACCTAAAACAAAAATTCCATGAGATGATGTCTAACACTTCCTGCTGACAGTTCACACTAGTGTTTCTCTAGATGCTTCCTCAACCCTTACCCACTCAGCCCGTCTCTGACCATGCCTTACATTGGGTCGGGATGACAAACAGACTATATTTGTTATAAACGTATGATTTGAGTACAGCTACTTAGGAGCTCTGGTAGCGTAGTGGTTACGAATCGGGCTGCGAACCTTAAGGTCAGCGGTTCGAAACTACCAGCCGCTCCGCGGGAGAAAGATGAGGCTTTCTACTCCCGTAAAGATTTACACCCTCGGAAACCCTGTACAGGGTCGCTATGGGTCGGACCCGACTCGATGGCACTTAACAACAACAACAACTTATGGGGGTGGGGGTTGTATTTAAGACCAGTTAGAATTATTTCTGAAGCTTTAGAAGTTTTGTTTTCAGCAGCATTCACCATAAAATCTGGCCTTACATAGTTTTCTATTTTCTGTCTTGATTGGTTCTAGCACTCAAAATTCTCCATCGATCTAAAATTCTCAGTCTCTGTAAAGAACAATGTTGCATTATAGTCCCACTAAAAACCTTGAGGCAATACGAGAACTACAAGCACCTACTTCTGTTGTGTCCTTTTGGTGTTAGATGTTCAGACATTTGAAGAGTAGTTCATCTAAGGCCCATGACATATTTGGTGATTCTGGGTACCAGAGAACAGCCAGCCAGGCCACTCTACTTGATAATAGTCATGTCAGCACAGATCTTCGTTTTCTTTCTCTAATCAAGATGTGTGTGGTATATTTGTTTTCTAGTTGGAATTTGAAAAGACCCAAGTGAAAAAATTTGAGAAAGAGCAGAAGAAACTCTCCAGCCAGCTGGAAGAGGAGCGCTCTCGCCATAAGCAGCTCTCCTCCATGCTGGTGCTCGAGTGCAAGAAAGCCACCAGCAAGGCAGCGGAGGAGGGACAGAAGGCAGGAGAGCTAAGCCTGAAACTGGAGAAGGAGAAGAGCCGGGTGAGTAAGCTGGAGGAGGAGCTGGCTGCTGAGAGGAAGCGAGGCCTGCAGACCGAGGCCCAGGTGGAGAAGCAGTTGTCTGAGTTTGACATTGAAAGGGAACAACTGAGAGCAAAATTGAACCGAGAAGAGAACCGGACCAAAACTCTGAAAGAAGAGCTGGAAAGTTTGAAGAAAATCGTGAAGGACCTTGAAGCTTCCTGCCAGCACAGTAGCCTTAATGAGCAGTCTAAGCAACCAGTAACCATGTCCAAAGGCATAGCAACTGAGCCTCCCGTGCTAGTGTCTGTATTTTGCCAAACGGAGAGTTTTCAGGCAGAAAGACTCCAAGGGAGCAACATAGGCAAGGTGACAAACACTGGACTGCCTGTCCCCACCACTCCTACTAACTCTTTCTCAAAGACCAATGGCCATTGTGACCCAGACATACAAACCTCCAGGGAGTTGATAGCAGGCAGCAGTGTAGACAACCAAGTGCCACCACGAGAGAAATCTGTGGGATTGATCCAAGAAAAACCAGTGGAGAACGGTGGGTGTCCTGTGGGAATCGAGTCTCCAGTCCCAGCGTCCAGTCACCTCCCTTCTGGTGGGAGCTCACTGTCTCCCAGCAGCACTGCCTCCTCCTCTCTCACATCCTCTCCTTGCTCTTCACCAGTACTAACTAAGCGCTTACTAGGGTCATCAGCCAGCAGCCCTGGCTACCAATCATCCTACCAAGTAGGGATAAACCAGCGGTTCCATGCAGCTCGACACAAATTTCAGTCACAAGCAGATCAAGACCAACAAGCAAGTGGTCTCCAGAGCCCTCCGTCCCGGGATCTGTCCCCAACCCTCATAGACAACTCAGCCGCCAAGCAACTGGCCCGGAACACAGTCACTCAGGTGCTCTCCAGATTCACCAGCCAACAAGGGCCAATCAAGTCCGTCTCTCCCAATAGTTCTCCCTTTGGCACAGACTATCGAAACCTGGCCAACACCACCATCCCAAGAGGCGACACCAGCCATTCACCTACTCCAGGGAAAGTATCCAGTCCTCTGAGCCCCCTGTCTCCAGGGATCAAGTCTCCTACTATCCCTAGAGCAGAGAGAGGGAACCCTCCACCCATCCCACCCAAAAAACCTGGCCTCACTCCATCTCCATCCGCTCCCACTCCACTGACCAAAACGCATTCCCAGGCATCCTCTCTGACCACTACAGAAGAACTTGCCAGCAGCTGCTCTTCCAATGCAGTCATAGCCAATGGCAAGGACGTTGAGATACTGTTACCTACCAGCAGCTAGTCCCTAGGAAGGCGTATCCAAATGTAACATTCCATTTGATTTCGTCTAAGAGCTGAATCAAACCTTGAGTCAGATCATGTTATTTATTTTGATAGTAGCTGAAACCCTCTGTACAATCCATTTAGTATACTTTACTTTTTTGTATTTTTTTTTAAATAGAAACCAATTAGTTTGGATTTTTATGGCTCAAATCTTTGTACTGAAGCTAGACGGGCACCTCAAAGATATCTCAAGCTCAGCAGTCACCGTCATGTTGTGATAGAAAACGCTAAGCTAATAAAGTACTAGGTGGTGATTTGCTGTCTGTTTTGGGACTAGAGTCCCTCAATGCTCATTTTGAATTATGGAGAAGTAGTTTGTGCAGATTTTTATTCAGATGAACATGTTTTTAAAGTGCCTGAAATAAGACTGCCATATGAATGTGATTCTGCAGCAAAAACACAAAACGGACCATTTAATTGCAGAAAATGAGATCCTCTGTGAATTCTGAATGTTAAAAATCAACACTGCTTTTAATCCTCTTTTACTGTTTTTAATACAAGCTTTGTGTTCTAAAACAAGGCTGATAAATAGAATGGGTATGAACTCACCACAAAGCTGAGCTTTATAGACAGCCCTGGAGAAATTCTCCTAAGCATTAAGCAGTTGGGGTGCTGATTTTCTTACACTTTTGAAAGATTAAGTATCTCCTAGTTTCCTGCTTAAATTCTTGAATAGAATGAAATCACATCTCCATTCAAAAAATATCTCCACGTGTCTCCTGTTATGTAAAAAAACTTCTGATTTTGATTGCTGTTACTTGAATAGAGAATGGTTACTCGTTCTGTATAGAGGTTTTGTAACAGAGTGAGTTCTTTATTATGTAATCCAAAAGCAATAACTTAAAGCTCACTCATTTTGTAATATTCTAACTCAGAATTATACAGGTTTTACCACATTGTTACACTTAATATTCTCCAAACAGCCAGCACTTGGTGTTGACGGAACCAAATTAATTTTTGCCTAGATGGAAGTACACATATATCTGTATAGATACACAGCCCTTTACATGTTTAACGTACACACACTTAAACAGTAAGTATTAGTGTGATTATATCTTTGGGGTTTTCAGTACAGCCTAAAGGACAAGTAGAAATGCACGTTAAGATTACCTACCAAAGTAACCAGATGTGGCTGGGGCCTAGTCAAGGGCAGAATCATGTACAAAGGTTGCTTATGAAATCCGAAATGAAAACCAAGTCTTCAGCATTACAAAAAGGTGGGGATAAACTAACCTCAGTGTCATACCCTCAGCCAGACAGATACTGGTGGTGCTGGTTATGTGCCGTGGAGTCAGCTCCGACTCAGCGCCCCTGTGCAAGGTTTCTGAGGCTGTCAATCTTTACGGGGAGCAGAACACCTCCTCTTTCTCCCACGGAACAGCTGGTAGTTTTGAACTGCTGACCTTAAGGTTCGCAGCCCGATTCATAACCACTACACTACCAGAGCGCCTTAGACAGATACTAGAAGTGTGTTAAACAGTTCACTCAAATGGTGTAAGACAGATGGGAGTAATGGGAGCAGTAGCAAAATGCCGAGCTCAAGCCCCAGTTTAAGTGACAGTCGCTGTTCAGCTCCAACTGCTTGTCGCTATACAAAATTAGACCATGGTTACCAAGTCTTCAAATTTTTATGAAATCCAAATTTTCATGAGAAATACTCATGTTTTGAAATACCAAGAACTGATTCCAAACTTTGAAAACACTGCTGATTATACAAACACTTCTGTAGCTGGATTTATTTCTCAGGCTGCCAAATTGCAGTTTCTTTCATTTCTAGAAACTTCTGTCATTTTCATCATAGGGAGATTTTGTGGACAGAAACCTCCAGATTTTCCAGCAGTGTAGACTAGTAGAGCTGACAGCCCAAAGAATGTAATGTGCCCTCTCTTCTAAAGAAGACTTCCAGAAGCCATTTCTGACGTGATGGAGTTTATATGTTTTTGTATCTAGAGGGATAGAGAGGCTCTGTGGTCCTCCTTTTTATACCTAGACAACTTCTATCCAGGAGCCCTTCACCTTTTGCTATAAGTGAAATATTTTGTTGTTGTTATGTGCCATCAAGTCTGTTCTCACAGTGGCCCTGTATAGGGTTTCTAAGAAGTGGCTGGTGGGTTTGAACTGCTAACCTTGCAGTTAGTAATCTAGTGTTTATGCTACAGTGCCACACCCTCCAGTAAGAGTTGATGGAGGAAAGTCATAGAATGGAAATTGATGTATAATTCACAATGGAGTTTACTGGTGATAGAGATGTATAACTTAACGTAGGGCTTGATTGGGAGCTCTGGTGGCATAGTGGGTTTTATATTGGGTTGTTACATCACAGCGTACATGTTTTGAATCCACCATCTGTTCCATAGGAAAAATACACAGTTTTCTGCTCCTATAGAGATTTCTAGCCTCGGAAACCCTATACAAGGTTACTGTAAGTTGGAACCAACTCGACACCACACAGCACAAACAACATGGCTTGATTGACCAAAACTTCAAAAATAAAAATGCTACTAAGGTGCTACTAAAATGGTGAAGGAGAGGTATCTTAGACTGTCCAAAGCAATCATTATTTGAACAGCGTTGATGATAAAATAGCTGAACTTTCTGACTAGTAGAGGGGGCTGAAGTCCCAGCATGTTATTACCTCTCTTGCTTTAAATGGTAATCTTAGCCGTTGCATTGTGCTCTTCCTTTGTTTTGGTATAGATTATATATAGAGAAAGAGATACTATAAGGAAGTTTATTTCTTAGGAAGTGCACTGAATAATGTATGTCTTTTACAGTGTCATATGGGGTGGGGAAATGCAAAAGAAACGTGTATTTTTGCTAGTTGCCTATCTTCTGAGATAATTAAGCACAATATTGCAATGGATCTAACTAGTCCAGTTAGATATAGATTAGTATTTAAGTTTGCTGTAGATTGTGTGTGCTAAGTAAAAGTTTCATGTTGGTACTAACCCATGTTGCAAAAGCTGTTACTGAGCAACAGATGATAATGATGTGTACAACACATAACACAATCATTAACTAGTCATTAACATTTGTAAAGTCAAATGTACCATGCAGAAGTCTTCATTTTTATAGCAGACTACATTAAAACAAGTGAAAACATACTATCTGGAAAGAAAAAAAGTAGTCTTATTTATACAAAGAGAAGAATGCTGTACAACAAGGCTTGTTTTGCTGGTGTAGATGGAACTTTAAAATTGTGGCTTTGAAAAATGAAGTCAATGACCCATCTGGAGTAGACCCGAAAAGAAACTGGGACATTGGTTCTTAGAGCTGGTTCACAGGAACCAAAGACCCTGACACCATCCATGATTCATGCCCTCCACCTTAAGAGCCTTCAGAACTCCTCACCGTGGCTAGCTGCCTGGTGTGACAGATGAGTGCAGCGTCCCTTGTGTCTGTGTCATCAGCCACCAGGGCTGCTGCAAGCTGTAGCCAGACAAAAGTACTTGAAAATCCTTTGATGTACAAAAGATGTTCCAACAGTGTGGATGTTTACATAGCTTAAGTTTCTAGTATTTCAGCCACTTAATGATCGTTTCAACAAACACTGGCTATATCCATTTTCCCATAACAGTCTTGTCAGTCTGGTTAGGGGGAGATGGAGGAGTAATGCTACCTTGTCAATCTGTGTATAATTGACAGAGACTGCTGCTGCTTAGCCCCTGAAAGAAAAGTTCAAATGCCTTTTTAAATGGCTAGCTTCAAAATAGGATGCATTTTCAGAACTGTGGGTGGGCAATGAGTATTGTTCCAGAGTTATTTTGTATTTAATTGTGATAGAACAAATTGAGAAAACTTGAGACACTGTTCACTTGCCTGCTCTCCTATCAACATCCAATTCACTGGTAGAAGGGAGGCGACATGGATGGTGGGTCTCAAACTTGATTGTGCTTGAGAGAAGTTTACTAAAATGAAGAATTCTCCCAAAGGCATTGATTCAGTAGTTCTGGAGATGGAGCCTACAGGCTGACTGATAGAGGTGGTCTGAGAATCCCACTTGAAACATAGTGATTAAAAATGTGGAACAACTAATTCCCCTGGAGTCCTGGTGTGGTGCTGTGAATTAATATGCTGGACTACAAAGTTGGTTTGAATCACAAGATCAGCAGTTCAAGCTCACCAGCTGCTCTTTGGAAACCCTATATAGATAGGGTTGCTATGGGTTGGAACCTAGTGGTACCTAACAACAGCAACTGATCTCACCCCACCCCCACCCCCCGGCCTGAAGAGGCACAAAAAGCCTCATAACCCTCATCTGTTCTTTCACAATAACTTACTTGCCTCTGATCTAAGAAGATGTCTTATGCTCCTGAAACTGGTTTGTCAGACATTAGTGATACTCAGTCAAGAATCCCTACTTGAGTATCAAGCACCATGTTAAAGATTTCACATACACATTACATTATTAGTCGTCACTCATCATCAGTGAGCTATTAATTAACCCTGTGTACCAATGAGCTAGTAGAGGACCAGAGATTTGTACGAGGGCCCTTAATAAGTGACAGCACCAAGATTTCAACCCTAGCGTTCTGTTCCTTTCACTACCAATAATTCTCAGATAAGAATCCCAAGGGGTGCTTGTTGAACCCAGACTCCCCAGAACCTTCTACTGCAGACTCTGGAAAGTGTTTTGAGTGATTCTTGATGAAGCAAGTTTAGAAAACTTAAGGACCACACACTGCTCTTCTCTCACCCCAGCCACCACACGGCCAGACGTGGATGATCAGATTCATTCAGTGCCTCCTTTGTTCAGGTGAGCTGAACAAAATACTAATTTTTTCCCAAATTCCATCAAACAGCACATAAAATGTCTAAGATAAGCCAGAACCAAGGTAAATATTATGGAAGAGCAGTTTAAACTTCTTCCTGCCTTCAGGGAACTAACAGGGAAATCTTTAACATAAAAATAAAGATTACAAATAGGTAATACAGTTCCATAGAATAATGCAAGTGGTGTTAAGAGCCATACAGGACAGTGGAAGGGGGTGTTGGTACAAGCACTGGAATCTCAGAGGTAAGATTGAAAAAGCAACTAGAAAAGGAGCCAATGTCTTCTCCACAGCATCACTTACTGACCTGGAGTTCTGCAGGATGTCCCTGTGTTTGCACTATGCGTCATTTGGCTGGTCTTGATCCTAGGATGAGGTCAGAAACAGGAATAAGCCCCCAAGAGCTGAGTCCTGTGTCAGGGAGACTGACAGACATCAATGCAAGGGCTTGGAGTTGGTGTAAGAACAGGCTCTGAGGCCAATACAAGATTTGCCTGATCCACAGGAGGGTTGTCTACTTAATTTGACCAGAGTCTCCTCACTAGCTCAGTGTGGTGAGCACTGGGATCTATATGTCACCCAGGTGCTAAGTTTCCCTAGCTGTTGTGAATACTTAGTAAATAGTCCTCTGCTGGTTGAGAATCAACCAGGGTCACCTTTTCTTCCATGGGCAGCTCACATCCAAAGACTGTCCAATATAAAGGTCTGGGCCTCCTGTCCTTCAGGGGGATTCTGAAGGGTCACCCAGCTTCATAGTCCCCTGTCCACTGTGGCTGAAACCTCCACTGAGACCAGTACAGCTCACCACCTCTGTCTGCCCAATCCTGCGCCCTTCCCATCCATAGGTATTGGTCCTAAGGCACTCCCTCCCTGGTAAGCCACCTGCACCCTAGTCTCCATCTCAGAGTCTACTCGATTCCTTCTGGTCATGATTAAGTTCTCTAAAGGAGGAAGACACATTTTTGAACATTTATTTTGTGCCAAGTTCCCAAGCTGGGCTGGACTTCAAGTCCTCAACCATTTGCCTTTCAAGTCTAGTGCCTTCCACAAGCCTCACTATAGTCGCTGTTTGCTGTTTAGTGCTACTGAGTCGGTGCTGACTCAGAGCAAGCCTATGTAGG